AAAAAGAAAAAAAAGAAAAAAAAAAAAAGGGGAGGGTGCAGAGTTTCGGCAGACGGGACTTCGGCGATGTCTCATGACGGCCATCAACAACGCCGAAGGCTTCGGCCTCATGTAAAGTTTTCCCGCATGTACAGAAACATAAAAACTGACAGACATCCATGAAACGAATTCTTTCCATGTAGGAAGAGGAGGAAAATGAAACTGAATGATCCAGGAAGAGGGAGAGGTGGTAATAGAGAAATCAGAGAGCGACAGGGAGTGAAAGAGAGAGTGTGTGTGTGAGAGAGGGAACGAGCGAGCGAGAGAGGAGGAAAGCAGCGAGGGATGTTGAACGAGACATGCTGACTGACTGACTTGTTTGATTGATTTACAAACTCAAAAGCGGAGGAGATTGAGAGATCCCAACTCGCTGCTCTCCTTAACGACAGTCTCATACACAGAGTAGATGGTCGTCACTGCCAGAAGAATTCCAGTTCCCGAGCCGATAGCACCTGCACCATCATGTCAACAACTGCTGACACATACTTTCTCATCTTCCTCCTCAACATCAACATCAACATCAACAAGTCGACATCAACACGCTCTTCACCCCTTCTCTCCTCCTCCTCCTCACCCATGAAGTCGGCGATGATGGTCAGAGCACCGATGCACATGCCACCGAAGGCAGCGGCGGTGGGGATGTAGCGGTTGAGGAGCTTCTGCATGGAGCCGGATCGATGTCCCATCATCACCATCTGCTGGTCCCTGAGCTGCTTCGACACGTCCGAGGCCGAGGAGCCGGAAACATGGATCCAGGTCCTGGAGAACAGAGCGCAGGCAGTGAGGATGAAGACGATGTAGAAGATGGCGTGAAAGGGATCCGAGAGAATGTCCGTGAAGCTGTTGGGAGGGGATACGTAGTAAGCGAGACCGCCGACAGGCCTCATCTGCCCCGACATGGACATCTCCGGCTCCTCCCAGCGTCCGAGAAGGTGGATGAAGATGTTCTCCGGGTACCTCTTGTACAGGATCTGAGAGATGAAGTACAAGTTGGAGACCAAGGCAGTCTGGAGGATGATGGGGATGTTGCTGGTGTAGAACAGCTTGATGGGATAGCTCCCCTGCCCGCTCTTCTGCTTCGCGTGCTTCACAGGAAGCTCGACCCTGAACCCCTGGAAGTAGACGACCAGGACGAAGACAAGCACAGTAGCCAACAGGTTGGTCACGTTGGGCAGGTTCTGGCGGTAGAACGCCTCCTGGAGGGCCCTGACCTTGTCCTGCTTCGTCACCAGCAGGTGGAACAGAGCGATCAGGGCGCCCTCGAACTCGGTTCCTCGTCCTGTGTTGATGGTGGTTGGGCTGAAAGACTTCCAGATGATCGTCTCGCAGACGTTGGTGGCGATGAAGAGCGAGATGGCCGACCCAAGGCCGTACCCCTTCTGCAGGAGCTCATCCAGGCAGATCACAAGGATACCCGCAGTGAAGAGCTGGGCGATGAGGAGGATGGCATTGCCGGCTCCGAGATCCCTGACGTCTCCGTACATGCCCGAGAGCACGTAGGCCACGGCCTCGACGATGGTGATGAGGATACCGAGGAGCTTCTGGGCTCCCTGGAACAGAGTCTTGTCCTCCTTGGTTCCCTGGTCAACGTCGATGATCCTGGAGCCAGCAAGGAGCTGCATGATGAGGCCGGAGGTGACGACCGGGCTGATACCCAGCTCCATCAACGTCCCTTTGTTCGATGCCAAGATAACGCGCATCCAGTAGAAAGGATCCGACGATTTCGAGTTTGAGATGCCGTACAGGGGATTTGGCAACAGACGAGGTAGATGAAGAGCGTGATCATGGTCCACAAGATCTTCTCCTTGATGGGCACCTTGAAGCGATGAGGGTCAGGGAGGAAGAATGAAGCGAAGGACACACGAGGAATAGGAGGTGTTCAGTTGACGAGGAGGGATGATATGGGACACGGGGGGATGGGAGGGGGGTGGAGGGATGGAGAAGCGTACCTTCTTCTGCGAAGAGGTGACCTCAGGGAGGATGAACATGAACGGCTTCACAAGACTGAGGAAGCGAACTGTGCACGGCAGGTCACATACAGGGCCAGGAAGCATGAACAGCAGCGGCGTTACCTCCCTTGGTGCTGCTCATCTTGACGCTCTTGTTTCCTCACAGAGCAGCAACCTGTCATAGAACGTGAATGGGACGAACTGCTTGCTGTTTGAAATGTAGCTGTCTATCATCATTGGGTTAATGGCTGACTTGCCAAAATAAAGCATTCTTCCAACTCCTCTGAAGCTCTTCAATACAATGGAACCGGATCATCCTAGGTGTTCATGTGCCAAACAATCCAATATGCACTGCCTCAAGTTTCCTCTCCTGTTTTTGACCAGCTTGCTATGTTTTCCCATGCTTGACGGTTCGAACTGACTTTCTAGCCTTTCCTGAACTGACTTGGAATTTGTTCACTGTAACAGTGATTCTTGTTAGATCAGAAGATCTCCGTGCCTTCTTAGTTTCACTTTCGATGATTCCCCTGCTCAATCTCGAGGACCTCTCCACCTTTTCCTCTACATTCCATATCAATCCAGCATACTCAAGACAGCTGTTTTCGATGTTCCTCCCTTCTCGCATATCCTCCTGTCTCCCAATCTCTTCTCCTCAGCTGTATCCTGTCCCATCTTCTCTCCTTCCATGATCTCCTCCCTCCTTCGCTCTCCTCTCCCGCCATCTCGTTGCCCCGCAACACCATCGCCTCAAATCCTTCACTGCCATCGTCAGCCTCTGGGGGCCGATGGGTTTCCCATTGACCGGTACGGGTCTTCTCCTACCACGTCAATTTGTGCAAACAACCCCCCAATAACCATCTACAAAACACTTTTATCTCAAAAATACGTACCAAATATTACTCATTATTTTGAGGTACTTTCTATACAACGTTGTGGTAACACTTATTTCAACTATTGAATTATTTGAGTAATATATAGTATGACAATTCATCACCTCACTTCATACGTGTGCTGAGCCCACCCCCCTTCCGATTCCTCCATCCGTCAACATGCATGCAGATTCTTTTTTTCGATGAATTTGAAATTTCATGATGAAATTTGAATCTCAAGGTGTGTGAACATCGTTTGAGATACAGTTGAAATATATGCCCGAAATCTGAAATTGATCAAACATTACAAATATTATTCAGATGCTTCCGAGAATATTTGAAATTTTCACAAATAAAATTTGAAGATAAAATGCGAACTTGATTCTTCAGAGTAGTGACTTTCATCTTTCACCTGAAATGATTTCACAAGTATTAACTAAAGCTTCACTACAGAGTTTTGTACCATTACATCAATAGAGTACCGGGTCTCTTCTCAATGAATATGGTGGGTGGGGTAGGAGATCCACGTCGACTCGAAGAAAGTTTCAGCCTTGCCTTCAAACTGTTTGAAATTTCAACACCCACCCCACATAAAAAACCACCCCTATGAAATAAAGATGAACCCTACCTACCTATCCACTAATTGTTGTTCCATATAGTACCCCTGTAAAATTTACACCACCGGTCCAGTCAATCGGCTCAGTTAAGCGCTTCAGGCGGCTGGCAGTGAGCGCGGCCGCCGGGGCGGCCCGCCGGGGTCCAACTCACTGAGTCACAATGATTCAAACGGCACTCAGGCTCAGCCGCCGCGCGGCAGCCCGGCCGGGCCCGCCGGGACTCGGGACTCGGAGTCGGAGGCTGGGTCTGCGGCCCGGCCGGAGCCGCCTGGCTGCCCGGCCCTGACGGTGGCCCAAGATCGTGGCAGTGCAGCTTTCGCCCGGCACTGCCGCCCGGCCGCCGCTCAGCGGCCTAGCCAGGCTTAGCGGCTGGCAACGGTACGGTACCAACGGCGCCGGTGACTCGGGGCCGCCCGACGCGCGCGGCCGCCGCCGCGGGGCCCGGGCTCTGAGTCAGACTGAGACCTACCGTAGTACTAGGCTAGGCTGGATTCCTTGCCGGCATTATCGGCCCCCGGGTGACCGTACCCCGTACCGTACCGTCACTATACGGTACTC